TTGGGAGGAGCCCCTGGCTCCTTTCTTTTACCAGCTCCATCCATGTGAGGATAAGTCAAAGGTCCTGCTCGACCATTGTTGGCTCCTCTTGGAAGCATGGAGGAAATGATTCTTCCGTGTTGACCCTCCTCTTTATAGACTGGACACTGGTTCAAGTCCATCTGGTGGGGTCTCCTTGGCCTCTTTGATCAAGAGGTCAGATGACCCACTGCCTTTACAGGACGTTTTGCGAGATGCTCATTGCCCCTGGGAACTAATCGACCTATGTGGGCAAGGAGCAAAAAGTGTCCTTTGCGTCCCTCTGACCCAATTAGTATAGATCTCAGGGTATGTCTGTTAAACATCCAAGAAGGTTAGTTCCACCATTCTGGCATTTTTAATTACTGTGTGTCTTGCAGATAAATCTTGGGTAATGACCAGTTGGTCTCAAATAAACCTTATCTAGAGATATATTTCTTGATCTGTTATGTATAATTTGTCCGTAGATTGTAGGAATAATATGGTTCCCTCTGGTTTTCGTGACTAGCTAGGCATTGTTTCTCTCTTGTATCGTGTCCCCCCTCTATCATGGTTTTCCCACTTAAGGTGCCTGCACTTCCCCCCCTTTCTTCCTTACTAATACCCTTGCTCCCATGATCCTACCTCTGTTGAACCGTCCTTAACTCCAGTTCCAGGGGAATCTGAAGCCTTCTTCTGACCTCCGCGCCATTGCACGACACGGGTGCACTCACATACACGCAGGCAATAAACTCATACACATAAAGTAAAAATAATAAAATTTTTTTTAAAAAAGAAAAAAAGACTCTCCTTTTCTAGGGAGATTTCTGGAGAGGTTTGTAGCCTCTGGGAGTAAGACCCATATCCCGATATACCTGCCTGCTCTCGTTCTGCTGCAGACTGCTCAGGCATAAGATTATGAGCTCCTGGAACCCATGTATACGGGAAGCTTAAGGAAATCCGTACCTGAAGAACAGATAGAATTCTTACTCCGCAAGAAGCTCTTTCATAATCTCCTTTTCAAGCTAGCTCAAAGTGATAAGCTTTCACCGAATCCAATCTCTCCCCTCGGCATTTTGTTGAGTTCTACTTATTGCTTTATCTGAAGCCAATAGTAATTATGTGTCAATTTTCCCTTCTCATCATACTGAGATCCTGCAAGACACTGCATTCAAAAGCCGCGCCAGTCTAGTCCTTTTTCAATTGGCCTTATCAATTACCAATCATTTCTGTTTGGGGCAATTTTGATTGGTCAGTCTTGTGTCTTGTGAGATTCTCAGGACTAGGGTTTCCCCCAGGTGTATTCTCAGCTCTCGGGTTCCGCTTTTTCAGCACACTGTCTTCTGTTTTTACCTCCACTTCCTTCCTATTGGTTCTCTTTATCCTCCAAGAGTTGTCGCCTAACGTTTCTGATTGGCTTCTTTGGATGCCCATTGCTCCCGCCCTCGTACCACGTGGTATTCCTAAAGCTAATTGGGCAACTCTACTAGCCGGTTTATCAGCGATGGGCCGGGCGATTGATTGGCTGCCCTGAGGGCGGGCCTGAGGAGAGGGGCGTGGCCATCTGCGGCCCCCACCTCCAGCGTCCCTGCCCCCAGGCGTTTGGGTCGCTGGCCACCGGGAGCCTAGAGTTTCCAGCTGCCTCCTGGGTCTCGGCAGTGGTGGTGCTCCGGGCCTGCCCGGGAGGCGGGGGGACAACCACGACTGACGGGCCATGGCTGCAGGCGCCGAGTCCTCCGCCGTCGTCGGCCTCGCTGAGTCGCCGACTTCTGTGCCAGGGATCCCCACCTCCTCCGCAGGCTAAACCGACGCGGCGGCCGCGGGCAGCCGGAGCTGCTATGCGCGCTCTGGGCCGCCTCCCTCGCCCGCCGGCCCGCGCGGACGCCCTTCGCCTGCGCCGAGCTGCCTCAGGTAACGTCGGCGAGTGCGCAGGGAGCGACCTGCGAGTCCTGGCCGCGCGGCTGCGGCATCTTCGCCGCCCCCGAACCTCGGCGCTGGAGTCGCCGAGCACTGGCGGCCCCGAGGCGTCCCAGCAGGGCAGGGTTCAGTCCCACGTCGCCCTTCCCCTCGGGGTCCCGGGACAGTACCCACCTTCTCGCCTCAGTGGCTGAGAACTCTTTGGGTTGCATCTCTCGCGTCGAGGATGTGGTGTCTGACTTCGATCCGACCTGCCTCACTTCTGGGGTTCTGGAATCATTGTGTGTAAAGCTTGTTTCATAGACTCTAATCCCTTCACCGCGCTCGCTGGTCCTAGTACCGGTCCTACCACCAGGGTCTGGATTTCTTCCCCTTCTATCAAACGTGCTCATCCCTCCAAAACCCACCTAGGTGAAGGGGCCTTCCTCCCTTTCCTCGCTTTTTCCCTCCTTTGCCTTTTGCCTTTCTTTATGAAAACTTGACTAAGCTGATCTTCAGATTTGGCTAAAAATAAAATTCAGAGTTGTCTAAAAAACTTTTCAGTTTATATCTCAAGAAAAAGTTGCTAAAGAATTTGGGCTTTAGGTGCCGGAGAGATGGCTCAGTGGTTAAAGAACACTGGCTGCTATTGCAGAAGTCTGGGGTTCGAATCCCAGTACCCACATGGCAGCTAACAACTGTCTGTAACTCCAGTTCCAGGGTATCCAACAGCCTCTTCTGTTCTCCATGGGCACTGCACAACACGGGTGCACTTACCTACATTCAGGCAATGCATACATACACATATAATAAAAATAAAAATAAAAATAAAAAATAACCTGTTGATCTCTTCTTTAAAAAAAGAATT